TCCACCTTTATTACATAATCGCTTCTTCCCTTGCAGAGAACCAAGTTGCATTTCAGTGATAATTTTGACATGATAATCTTGAAAGGTCATTAAGAATAGTTTAATAAGTTTTAATATTTTATTATATATTTTATCTAATTTTAATAATTTATTCATACCTCCACTTCTTTCTGCACCAGAATGTTCAGATACATATAATATATTCCTGCTTCATGTGAGGTCCAGATATTTAGCAGTTCCTGATATTTAGCAGTCCCATAAGTTTCCCAAGGGAAGAGATGAGAAGCATTGCTGCTTCCCAGATGCTCTCTTCCATGACAGTCTCAGGCAATCAGATTTTTGTGGAGTCACCAAAGCACCAACGTTTTCTTTGTCTTTAACCACATCCCTCAGGAAACGTCACATCCCAGTTAGACGTGCCTGAACCAGTCTTTGCAACAAAGGAAAAAGAACCTCCTGCTCTTTAAAGACTGGTGGTAGAGAAAATAGACTTGGGCAACACTGGCTTATTGCGTTGCCAGTAGCAGCCACGAGAGCATTTAAGTGAGCTGTGGCTGTCAAGGCAGTTTCCTGTGCTGTGTTGTCTCCAAAACAAAGAGCAGCATCTCACAGCCAAAACATCCCTGCAGATCCACCAGCTGAAGGGCAAGATCCAAGGGCTTTCTCAGTGCTCCAACTTAAGCAAAGGAGGGAAAAAATCCTTGCAGGTCATTGCCCTGAGTGTCAGAGCTGCAACTTTCAGGTCTGATCCCATTTCGAACTGATGGAGCTGCTGTGATCATCTGGCTAATGGAGGAGGAGAAGCAGGTAGGCAGAACAGCTGAATTTAATACAGCAAAAGTGGCAAGCATTGCATCATGGCCTAAAAAAGCAGAAGAGCAATAAAAACTGTAAATCAGGAGATCTTTTCCTTACTGAGGAGCTCTCACAGAGGCAAAGCCCAGCTTCACCAGATTTTCTGACAGAAACGTGCAAAAACCTCAGGCTGTGAGAATAAGAGTAGATGCCAGGCAGCCTCCTGGCTGCAGAGACCTCTCTGAATCTCAGTTCTGCACCTACCCTGCACCGGAGACCCTGGTCCAGCCAGAGAGCACAGCACCCAGAGCCCTCCCTGGCATGCTTTGGGCAAATGCCACTCCTGTGCCTGTCATACAGCATGGTCCTCAAAGAAAGGCTTCATTACATTATTCATGACAAGTCAGACATCTTTTTTTATAATGCAGTTGTTTATGATATTGTAATTCTGTCTGGAAACCAGGACGTCTGTGAATGAATCAGCAATAATTATCCCTGTGTTTTGTTGTCCAGTGAGAGGGGCTGACACGCAGCTGTGTTTGCAGTGCTGGGTACTGTTTCAAAAGGATAGGAGTTAAGGATATAGCGATTTTCTGGTCAGTGGAGGTTAGAGGTGATTTTGTGCCCAGTGTAAATGGCATTGTCTGGCAGAGACAATTAGCAAATGAAGCGTTGCCTCACCAGAGGCTTTGCAGCCTCTGAGTCTCTTCTTCCAGCCTGACAACAAACAGAAATTTGAGATGGTATCTCGGGTTTCCAAAACAGGAAGCTGCTAAATCCAGCAAGAGAGCAATTCATTTCCCACTTATAATGATGCTGCTTTTAAATCCCCTTGGAGGATACTGAAGTGTTTTCCGAAGGTTAGCAAGGGAGGTATTTCATCCCCATTTTTCACCAGATGAAAGACCAACTCTGCCAGGAGTGGAGCTGGGAGAGGGGTTTGTTTCCCTGTGCAGAACTGGGTGCTTTGCTGTGACTCAGGCTCTGTTCCTTTCTGCAGGCTGCCTCCCACCCCTGACTCCCATGCCCGTGTCACAGCACGGCACAGCCCTCCTTCAAACCCCTTCTTCTTTCAAGATCTTTTCTGTGGAGGAGGAGTTAATGGAAGTTTCCACTCACTTGTTATATTAATGCACTATAAATGACTTCTATAATTCATCAGAGTGGCCCACATCAGGCACAGGCTGGTGCAATTACAAGGTACAGAAATGTACCTTGGACACCAGGCTCCTCTGGACAAGTGGTCCAGGTCTGGCCTTGGAGTAGTGCTGTGCCAAGGGGATGAGTTATCACAGCCAAAGCTTTTATCTTTTTTTTATTTTCTCTGTTCTCCCATCATCCCCTCTTGGGTACTTGCAAAGTCCTTTCTAATCAGCTGGCTAACAGAGAAGTAATAAGATGAAAAAAATTTAAATTATTTCAAGCTACATTCCTAAGAAAAACTTCAGAGATTTTCACTAAATAAAGAGCTTTAAAAAGCTTCCAATTAAACAAAACATTGTTCTGACAGGACTCCTCAAGCAGTATCTTCAGTAATTGAGATTTATATGACCAGAAGTTTTGAGAGAATTGCCAGAAGGGAGAGCATTTTGAAACAAAACTTCAAGATGTTTAATCCTGAAACAATCGACACAGAACATTTTTCTTTTTGTCTTCCAGCCAAAAACTATTCATCAAAATTATCTCAAGTTCTAGATGTGGCTTCAGTTTTCTGGTATTTTACTTTTCAGCCAGTGCCGTGCTTGCAAGAGTTCAGCAGTGTTTTCCAGTTCCACTTTTTGTTCTCCTGC